TACTTTTTCACATTAAAAAAGCAACTAAAAACCAACAAATATGTTTAATTATTTTCATGAAATTGCATTTAATTTTTTGCTCTACTTTTGCGCTATTGTTTATGGGTTTTGTAAAGCTGCCAAGAAATTAACAGACGCAAGTCAACAAATTATCTTTATGCTACTATTGTTATAGCGTCTGCCCCTATTGTTAATATCGTTGTTGTTATTGTTGGCTCAACAGTTTGTTTGTGCCAGCACTGCACTGAATTCCGAATTCAGAAAACAATTTAAACATAGGAACAAAAAGTTGCATATAAACGAAAAAATCATTTTTAAAGTGATGAAGTCATCGCACTTTTTCATGAACTTTTGTTGCGTGTATTTCAATTAAAATTGCAATACGCAACTGAAATTAATAGACACAGAAACATATAAACTCATATACATATTTATTAAATTGTGTCAATGTTAAGCAAAAAAAGAAGAGAAATATATTCAAGAAACGCCACGCTTCGAAAGTGACAATGAAAAATATATATTAAACAACTTTCCATTTATTTTGACACTGTATTACAAAAAATGGATTTACATACATAAAGCCACATATCTACATACATATATGCATATGAAAATTCACTATTTTAATTTTTTCTTTACGCATTTTGCAAATGGAAAAGTTTTTTTCGTTCTCAAGGGAGAAACGAACATTCGAGCGTTTGATGTGTTGATAAAGTTGTAAATTGCTTTTGGAAAGGTTAACTTGAACATCATTAATAGGTCGGACATTGCAAAAAATACATGTTATAACATTTCATACTCGAATAAATATTATATTTCAATTCAGCAAACATTTCATGTTGGTAATAAATGAATAGTATATACTATACTTGACTTTATTTGACAAGCTAAATGAGAAATTCAAATGAATAAATATTTATATCAACAGTGTAAATAGTATAGTAAAATTTAAGTTAAATATTATCATAATTTTGTCCCACAATAAGTAATACTTCATAGTTATACAGGTTGGAAGAAGCAAGCCACAAATAAAACAAGAGAGAACGCTACAGTCGAGCAAGCCCGACAGTGTAATACCCTGTACCCAGGTAAACTTCCGTCATTGAGTTATATGCGCCCAAAAAAAGCAAAAAGAGGAAGAAGAAGAGCGAACTTGTTTCTGCAGTTTGGGGGGTTGTACTGGCGATAATTTGTTTTGCTAATAACTTTTCTAAGAATTGACCGAATTGAATAAAATTTTAAACAATAGTAGATAATTATAAATAAATTATGTGTGCAAAGTTTGGTTTAGGTAGCATTCGAAATGTGGACGCTATTGACGAAATTCTGTAGCGGGGGAAGGGGGGGAAAATTCCAAAAAATAAAATAAACTCGTTTCTCGGACCTAGGAGAAGCTGGATGCCAACTTTGGTTATTCTAGCTTTTATAGTTTCTGAGATCCTTGCGTTCATCCAGACGGACGGACAGACGGACGGACGGACAGACGGACAGACGGACGGACATGTCTAGATCGATTTCTCTCGTCATGCTGATTCAGAATATATATACTTTATGGGGTCGGAGATGTTTCCTTCTGCATGTTACATACTTTGCACAAACCTAATATACCCTTTTTACCCTACGGGTACAGGGTATAAAAAAAAAAAATGTCACAAAAGCTTGCATTGAAAGGGGTCTCGAGTATGCTGGCGGATCAATAAGTCGTTCACAAAAGTGATCTTAAATACCCGTCAAGACTAGGGATAAACTTGAGTCTATGTAGGGCTGTCAATGGCAGATTAACCCTGTGGTTTAAGTACCGTTTTGTCAAAATGTTTCAAGCGTACTTTGATAACAAATCAAGACTCTGTTTCAAAAACTCTACTGTAAAGTACTATCGATAGAACTATGCTAGCTGCGAATCTATAATACAAAGTATACTTCATTCTATCTAGGTGTTGTCAATCATTAAGCGAGTGAATCTATGCTAAAGACCCAAGCATGCACATTAGCTGTCTATGTTTGCCTTTAATTGCATATCTGATTGGCTTTTCAAGCATTTAAACATTCAATCAATTGGTGCGATTCGTGTTCATTTTGAAGACAAATCTTCAGCCATATAGCATATTGGAACTAGCAGTCGTCCACATCTTAAAATATATCATAATACTAAATTTTATTGAATACAGATTAAGGTAAAATATATCCCCCTTCTGTTTCTCTTCAACTCCTAGAAAAGCCCACAATTGGATTTAGCTAATACTTAGTAGTTTTGGAACATTCGTATTCATCAACTTGGTTCGCTAACAATTTAAATTAAATGAGTGGCGTACTGTTTTCTGTTCTTTTTATTTTTCAGCTCATTTTGTCAGTTCATTGGTCAAATAGTTCGCATAGTTCATGTGACAGCCTGCTATTTCTTATTATACGGACAGCTACAAGTGTTAAAAGTGAATGTGTGAATATTTCTCATTATTGGCATTTAAAAATGTCGCCATGTTGACAGACCACAGCAAATGAAGAAATAGCTGGGGAGCGTGCGATTTAATATGAAAAAATATATGAGAGGGCCGAAAAAAAGGGATAAAGTGCAGACCAAAAGAGCAAAATAATTTATGCATGCAATGACATAAAAAATTAATATCGCTTTTTGTTGCTCGCTCGCTGGGTACGCTGTGGGCGGGTCCAGCATGAAATATTCAAATGCAAGAGGAGGCCCAATGGTGAGTGATATTCGTATGCCTCCAAATGCGCTCTACGCATTTGTGAAGTGCCGACGAGTCCTGTTCGGCTGCCAACTGTGGCGCCCATCTCCCTGTTGTCAATCCTGCGACACTGACAGTGCAAAAATTTATGATATGACATACAGTTACAGCCTACGGTTGGGCGAAGGGGGGGTGGCAGACGGGTGCATCTGTGTGGGAGCGCCAAATGTCAGCAAAGTGATTTTTTATTTTAATTTACAAAGCGCAAAAGTGAAGAGGCGATATATATACTCGTATGTACTATATATATACTATATATATGAGCGAAGATGAATTATGTTGTGGCAGCTGCCAGAAGTGGGCGTGGCAGCACCAAATACAAAAAGAAAATGGCTCGTAAATCGCTTAAATGCCATCAGAAATCTCTGCATACGCGGCGTATGAGGCATATTTTTGTACACTTTAAAGTCACATATAATGGACAGTTTGTGCGAGTTGGTGAATTAAAGAAACCTTATGAGACAATTTTTCGGCATCATTCTTTTACAAAAATATGTTTGGAGACTAGAAGACTGTTTTAAAATATCAATAAATGTCTTTATAATATTAAATGATTTATCTGGCATTAACAAAAATATATAAATTTCTACAAATAAAATCCAACTCTAATATGCAAGTAAAATACATATGCTCTCGTAAATATAGTGTTTTTCTGCGTCAACAATATACATTTGTATTATATTAAGTTTTATATTAAGTTTTGTAGACTTTCATATATTATTCAACAGTCGCTTAAACTAGCAATAATTTATAATACTACCAATTGCCTCTTTGAAGTTATTCTTTCCCTCTCTCAAAATTCATTTCATGGGATAAATACTATGCAACTTAGTTTTGTTGTATTAAATATTAAAGAATATTTTAATTTCATAACTAAAGCACTGCAGATTATCCTTTATTTACCTGCTGTCGTCTATTTATTTATTTACTCATTCCACTACAGTTTTTGCTTTGCGGTATCAGCGCACATTCTATACCAATTGGCAATTAGCTCTTTAAATATTTAATCAATTGAAATTTTTTAATTAAATCAATCAACATTAACAACCTGTTCCATAATTAAACATAATGGCGCACTATGCAGTTCGTAATTGGTTATTTAATTAAAAATATCTGCTCGTGTTTTTGTGTCCCATATACATACTTATAGTTGTGTATGTGTTTTGATTGCCATATGCATGTGTATCAATAGCCGTATAAATAATAATAGAATCGTAATTATTTCAAAAGGCAATTGCATTTTAATAAATGGTCGGCTGCAATTCGCAGTGCCCGAATTCTATTTATATATAACAAATTTTACTTTTCATTTTTCATTTCGTTTTTAATTTTGGTTTTTCGTCGAAACACACATGCATGGTGAACATGAATTTGTTGTACTTTTTCTAGTACGTGACTTTCAACAGTTTATTTATGCAAATAATAATTTCAATGAATTACTTTGTTGTTATTATGCATGTTCTGGCTATGAGCTGTTATGAGGGAGGGGGTGAGAGGGATACGGTCTTAACACGTCCTCGCTTATTATTGAATATGTGTACATATTATAAGCTTGAAAGTTCTGAGTTCAATAACTTAAAGAAGAATATTGCCTAAACCTATGACTATTACTTTAAAAATTGAATTAAAAATCATTCCCAAACAATTAAGAAGCATTTACTATGAACTTATAAAAATGTTGTAATATTCATGTATCCTTTAAATTATTATTATTATTATTATTTACTGGTATAGTCAATTGTGTGCAGTGTAATATCAAATTTTATCTTTTTAATGTTAATCTAAATAATTTCATAAATTTTTATGGATGTATCTGGCATGTCCACATCTTGAGTTTCAACTTTAGAAAAATAATAATTTAACATCAGAAAATCTTTTAAATGTGAACTTGGCTGCAGTTTATTGAATTTTGTATTATTATTATTATTATGACCAAACACATTTAAGTTTTAAAATTTTCATTGACAAACTAAGTTTAAGTTTATAATTAGAAGTGAAATTGAGCTGAAAGTCGGTTTTTCTATTGAAATGCAATTTTGGATGCAGTTTTTTTAAAACATTAATTTATCTTTATTGATGGATTTTTAATTCCATTTCCACGATTTTTAAAATATTTATTAAAATCCACATCTAGCCACAATTAAATGCTTTTTAAGAGTTTTTAATCCCATATTATTTAGTCAATTTTATGAATTTATTATTTTTTTCAAATAATATCTTATAAAATTTGGCATACATTAAAATTTTAACACTTACAGCCATTTTTTGTTTTGAATTAAAAAATGTTAAAAATGTAGAATTAAATACACAAAAAGCGTCTTATACGCGTCTTTAACGATCGAAATATATTTTCCGACTGACGCAAGTTGGTGAAACAATTTTCCATTTTTCCTAAGAGCCTAAAGATAATTTACGAAAATGTTGAAAACGTTTTTAGTTTAGTCTTTTGCCGCCAACGCTAACGCTACTGTCGCTGTCGCCGTCGCCGTCGCTGTCGGCGCTGACAACGCTGCTGCAGCAATCCTACAAATATAGAGAGATATACATATACTATATCTGTAGGCATAGGCGGGTGTGGATGCCAAAATCGCCGAAAATAAAGCCAACGCTGGCAGCGAGCAGACAAATATAGATAAATTGTGAGGCGAGCGGCGGAAATTGTCCGTGACGTCATTGGAAACAACAAAAACTATGGCTAAGCAAACGCAACAACAATAGCAACAGCAGCAGCAAATAAATGGGAAATTGAAACAAATTTTAGACAGAAGTGTGCCTGATAGTGTGCTTTGTGTGCGGTCGCTAGCCTTTTGCCTTTCAAAACAGACACCAGCACATGCATATAGTCGAAAAAAATTCAATTTATTCGGCCAGCAATTACTCGCATATACGATAGAGCACTAACAATTTGTCTGAAACAGATTTTAAAGTATCAGCTATACTAGTAGAGTTTTTGGCTTGTGGGCGAACATTTGAAATGTGTGCTCGCGTGCAAGATGTGCCGTCAATTTGGTTGCAAGTCTATTAAAATATTCCACAATTTTGCCATAATTAACACGAATTTTTATATTAATTTGCTTACATTTTACACACTTGCTATGCAAATTTGATTTCAGTGCTGGCTAATTTTAGAAGTGACGCGCAATGTCATTTGCCAAATGTGTTTGAATTTATTTGTTAAAATATTCACAGTATTCCATATTTTCACGCATCATTTCAAACAAATTTGCTGCTCTACGTGAAGGTTATTTCACAAATTAAATTGAATTCGCAATTGGAAATTGCCCGACAAACTTTTCACAGACAATTTCACTAAAAGCTACCTGAACAATCTGACCTGAAAGTTGCTACAAAAGTTTCCCAATTATTGGAATGTGCAGCGCGCAGAATGTGATTAAATTAACGCTCGGCAGCAAAACATTAAGCAAATCAAGTTCAAGTTTAAGTGCTGCCATTGAGAAAAACCAAAAGATTCTCGATTATACAAACAAGAAGAAACAGAACGTCTCCCCCTGTGTTATGCCTCACCTCACACACCTGAAACACATAAATTTTGGCACTTAGCTGACTATTTAATGATATGTATGTTCTGTTTGTTTTGGGTCAATGTGATGGACGCTGACAGCAGGGGAAGGGGGCTAAATGCCAAGTGGAGGTGGCATGGAATACGAACAGTGCATAAAAAAACTAGAGAATTAAGTTCTCGAATAAATTTAAATTGTTGTCTTTAAAAGCATATAAAGCTGTTAATAAAACAGAATGAGAGCAAGTCAAATGAAATTCAAATTGCCATGAAATCATATCATTTAAAGAGCGTTCATTAACAGATGAGTTTTTCTAATACTTAGTTGTCTGCAGCTATAAATTGCAGTGAAAATGTTTCTGTTAATATTGAACAGAAGTTCTTATAATAACTTTTTATAAAATAAAATCATTTACTGGCTCATTTGTTTCTCCTTTATTTATATTTTATATAAATAAGTTAAAAATTGTCTACACTTATCAAATAATAATATCTTCTTGTGTCCGTCACAATAAAGCATTACTTATTTATTTAGAGATTATTTGTTCACTTTAATTAAATCTTCTACCAGGCGACTAATCTAGAAAAACATAAGAACGAGAATTCTGAAAATTGAACCTTTTATAATTGGATGTTTGATTTCAATTCAAATGAATCGAATCTGAATGAAATATGCATGCATCGTTTTATAAATGTTCAATTAAAATTCAAAGCTCACAGAAACCAAGACTGATATATTTATTTTGTTAGATATATTATTTCTATCTAAATTATGTGCATACATATACTTGTATACAAGTATTTCGAAGTTATTTAACAAACAAATCAAAATAGCCAAAATGAATGGATATATGAACTTTGCCATGAACTGTAGCTATATGTATGTAAATGCTGAATGATTGCTGTGAAAATATTTCATATAAAAATATGAAAAGTGTGGAAAAACAACACACACACATATATATGCTTAATTCAAATATAGAGACACCTACGTAAAATGTTCAGATTGCAGAACTTTTGAGGCGAACAGCTGCCAAGGCTGCAATCAGAATTAATTGAGCGACTCTGTACGACTCAGTGTCAGCCTGAACATATATGTAGACATACATATATGTTGTATCTACACACATGTGCGATTGTGTGTAGGTGTGTGTATGTACATACTACTATATCTATGCATGTGTGTCTTTTCAAAGTGAAGGCGTTAGCGTGGGTGTGCGACCCACAAAATGCTGTGCTGCTGACAAGTTCTCTTGTTTGTAAAACACAGAACATAACAAAATGACTTTTTTCTATGTTTTTCTTAAAAAAGAGCTTAAAAATGTATGAAACAAAAAAACGAAATTTGCTATTTATTTCCCCCAGTTTTTAATATAAAATAAACAACTGTTGCACATAAATAAGAACGAAATGGGCTTTGGAAAACAGAACACAACTGAATGATAATGAAAGCTTTTGTTGGCCTCGATTAGCTTGTTCTTTATTATAATTATTTCTCGTAAGGAGTATTGTGACTTCAAGTGGATGCTTGTAACATTTGAAGCAATACTCTTGGTAAATAAATATGAAAATGAATCAGCTCCTTAAAGATATTCACGGCAACTTCTTCAATGTAGCCCCTTCCGAATAAAACCCCATACGCATATTATGTTATTGCATGTTTATTTGTAGATAAAAAATATGCTTATTCGATTATATCAGTAGTTTTTGTAATCTTTTACGTTAAATCCCTTATGCTATTTTAAAGAAAAACTGCACATTATATTTATTCCGTTTTCAATAAAATCTAAAAAATATATTTTCTTGTACTTAAATATCAGTTTCAATTCAAGTGTAAGCAAAACACCATCAATGGGATGGAGGCTTTTGTGTCGTATATTAATAAATAATATATAATTACTATGTCTGTATTATTAAAGCTCTCTCCAATTAAATGGTATCTGCTAATATAGGCCCATACAAATTTCTTAACATATGCTTCCCGCTGCAAACGTTGAAATGGAAACACTTGTTAGAGTCTCTAATGTTCTATATTCCGTTAACAGAATGTTTTATATTTATATTTTTTAATTATGTTCAAGGCAAACCGCACACAAATCGAGGTCAATTAGTTGCCTCACAGCACCTCCTCTAATCCGCAAGGCGTTTTCGTATCTAAACACAATTGTATCCCAAAGATTTGATTTCAGTTGCGGAGCAGCAAGTCGGCCAACCAACAATTTGTTGTGCGCCACTTATCTGTGTGCTAATTAATTCTGTGTTGCTTGTGCTCTGGGCTTCCCTTTGCCCTTATTTTGGCTTCCTTTTGGGTTTTTATGTTGCCGCTGTGGGCTACATTTTTAACTACTTAGTAGCTGTCTCGAATAATTTGCCTCTTCCATGTTTTTGCCTTGCACATATTTTAATATCGATTGCTTTAAATTGTGCTTTGTAGATGAAAGCACAAATTAGCTTTATAAAGCATAAAGTGAATTTTTTCTTTAAATGTTTATAAAAACATCTGTGTTTTATTTTGAATATTTTTTTTTTTAGCTGCACGCACAAAATTGATAGGTATTTGCATTGTGCGACTTATGCAATTGAATTAAAATTTGTAGAGGCAATTTTAATTAAATTTATAGCTTTTTAGTCTAGCCAGCTGAACTTTTAATGGCTCTACTCGTATATTAAGTGAAATGGCCAAAGCATTTGATAGCCCACATTTCGCCCTAATTAGAAGGAAACAAAGTTTAAATTAAATAATTAATTATTCATTAGTTTTGCGGTTAATGCGGTAAAGGGTGTTACAAAAAGTTTTTCATGATACGCAAAGGTGGATGATAGAGAAATATTAAATTACTAAGCAATTTGCTTTGAATGTTTAATTGTGAAGTACTTTAAATATTTCCATATTGTTTGATTTTGAACTATGCGCAGTATGCATTAAAAAATTGATGAGTTGGCATTCATTTTTTTTATCTGTGCAGCATATATGTGATGGCCTTTAATGATGCGCCAATTCCAAAAATGTGTCTCTTCAATCATTTTCAATCATATGACCCAAGTATTAGCTTCCCCATTTGTTTGTTCTTGAGTTTAAACAGAGAAAATATCTCGAATAGCCTCAATTATTATGTTCCTTATAAAAATGCTGAACAACTAGAAACATCAAGGTATGCTTAATAATTATCTTAATCAACTTTTACCAACAAATTTTAATTTTATGAAATGTAGGTGTTTATTTTTCATAAAAAATATTTCAAACTTATTGTTCAATTGTTCAAAATTTTCTTCCGTAAAGTTAAAAAGGAGAGAAAATTGTTAAAAACGAAAACTAACACTTCAGCTAACACACAAACACATTAATACATATCCTTGTATATGTGCATACGTTAGTATGTTTTAAACTGAATGTTGATATGCAAAACGAATGCAAACATTTTTGGCATGTTTGTGGGAGAGCTTACAAATGTAAAAAGTACAAGTACTAGAAAAAACAAGCCAAGCTCAGCACTTTTCATTTTTACTTATGGCTCCATTTTTATCTTCATGCATACATATTTATTTGAAATGTTGTTTCTATGTAAAATAAGTAGAATATTTGTCTCTAAAAATACTTGTACCTTGGCATTTTTCGTCTGCAAGTAAAACTTAAACGAATTTTTGTATTTCAGAACATGCATTGGAATATTGTGTACAGTGAAGGATTGAATAGGAAAATATTTAAATTATAGTTTAAAGTTAAAGGGAAGTGCAAGTTGTGGAAGTTCTGCTAAAACAGTAATAATTACAAAAGAAATATATATATGTAAGTACCTGGAACTACTATATATGAATGCAAAGCTTTTTCACGTT